TCTAGGAGTAGCTGTTCTGTGGTACAGTGAATTTACTTGATATGGTGTTTGTATTTAAGTCTTCTTAACTCCCACAAAATGACAAGGTGAGATCATGCAAATAGGGTACACTAGACTCTTAACACTGGAATTGGTTAGTTTTGCCATCCGGAAGCTTAAAAGGGGCCATTTCAGACGCAGGAATGGATGAACCCAGGACCATAAAGAAAGAAGAGCCAGAGCTGCTTTTGAGATTCCTATCTTGAAAAGTGTCTGCAGCAGAGACAGCCACAGGGAGAGACAGAACAGCAGCTTCAGGCTTCCTGGCCTATGGACAAGAGATTGACTTCCAAATGTGTCTTTGGGGCACTTACAGACAAGCTAAAGAAGCTTTGCAACACTTGCCCAGGCAGGGCAGAGGCCAAAGAACCACACAGCTAAGAGGCCAAAGACAAGACAGAGGCGTGCCTGCATCACAGCAGAAAAGAAGCGTTCTCTTGCTGCATCCTGAGTTGTTTCTGATCCTGAATTGTACCCTGTTCACTTCCGGAATAACCTCTATAATTGTGAATATTGTCTCTGAGGTCTGTGTGGTCATGGCAATGGATTAACAAACCCAGCAGAGAGGTAAGGATGTTGCGGGAAGGATGGATGGTGTCAGAATAAGGTAAAGAAGGTTGTAGGATGAAGACACGCCTGAACTCTACTTCATAGAAATTGGCCTTGGGCTGACTGTGAGTCTGATTCTCCTTCCCCCTTGTTAGCCTGAGGAAGTGAGACATGGCCTCTATGTCATTTTTGCAGTTGGAGTAAACTTAGTTCAAATATCTCCCCATGGCATAGACTATGACAAGACGCAAAATCACTTATTACAAACATGGCCACCATAGACCTTGCCTTGTATGTTGCTGTTAGGTGCCACTGAGTCGGTACTGACCCACAGCGACCCTGTATTGGGTTTCCGAGGAGCGGCTGGTGAGCTTGAACACCGACCTTTAAGTTCAAACCAACTCTGCAGTCTAGCCAATTAACCCACAGCATGACATCAGGGCTCCTTGCCTTATATAAAAGAAATCAACTCCAGAGAAAGGAGAAATGTTGGGGTCTAAGAAGCTACCTCACAAGATGCCTCCATACAGCAAATGCTTTATACAGCTGGGTTATTACCTGTCAGTTAGCAATATTTATATATCATTATATAAAATTGGTCTTTGGTTGTATCAAAATACCATTCTGAGGAAATTATATTTTATATAACATTAAAATAACTAAGACAAAGACAAATGTGCTTCTGTAACTTTATAACATAAAAGACATCACTTCATTTTCACTGAGGGCACTGTATAGATGTATCCATAAGTTGAACTACGACTGAGCATTACTAAGAAAGAACCAACATATTTCAGTATTTCTCAAGTTGAAATAACTGAAGACAACATCAAGCCTGAAGTTGCAATATTTAGAGTCCTGGTGTGGAGCTGTGGGTTAATATGCTGGACTGAAAAGTTGGTTTGAACTGTAAGGTTGGTGGTTCAAGCTCACCAGCTGCTCCTTGGAAACCCTATGCAGGGTCGCTAGGGGTTGGAACCAACTTGACGAAACTTAACAATGGGCAAAGTATTGAGCAACACAAGAAGCATAAAAGAAGATGAAAGGAATACACAGAGTCACTGTTAACAACAACAAAAACTGGTCAATGTTCAATCATTTCCAGAGGTAGCATATGATCATAGCTATTTAAGAAAGAAGTCTGTGCTGCACTGATGGCATTGGCAAAAACAATATGCAAGGAATTCACAAAATGCCTATTGAAGAGATTCAACACACTGATGCAGCACTGCACACACACACTTACCTATGCCAAGGAATTTGGAAGACAGGTACCCGGCTGACAGATTGGAAGAACTCCATCCTTGTGCCTCTTTCAAAAAAAAAGGTAACCTAACAGAATGCAAAAATTATCTAATGATATCATTAATATGAGGTGGAAGTAGTTTTGCTGAAGATTATTCAAAATTGGTTGCAGTAGCACATCAATAGGCGGCTGCCAGGAATTCAAGCCAGATTCAAAAGAGGACATGGAACAAGGGATATCATTGCTGACCATCAGATGGATCTTGACTGAAAGCAGAGACTACTAGAAAGATGTTAACTTGCGTTTTATTGACTATGCCCAGGCATTTTACTATGTGATTCATAACAAACTATAGAAAACATTGCAAAAAATGGAATGCCAAAACACTTCATTATGCACATGTGGAACCTGTACATAGACCAAAATGCAACTGTTTGACCAGAATAAGGAAATACTAAGTATTTTAAAATCAGAAAAGGTGTGTTCAGGGTTGTATCTTTCAAGATACATATTCAATATGTATGCTTTCCAAGTAAAGTAAGGGGCTGGAATATATAAAGAAAAACAGGCTACAAGATTGGAGGAAGTTTCATTAACAGGCTGAGATATACAGATGATGAGACAATTTTGCTTGAAAATAAAAAGGACTTGAAGTACTTACTGAAGAAGATCAAAGATTACAGCCTTCAGTATTGATTACACCTCAATGTAAAGAAAAAAAAAAAACTCCTTACAAATGGACCAGTAAAGGACATAATAATAAACTGAGAAACAATAGAAATTGTCACAGATTTCATTGTAATAGAATCCACAATCAACACTCAGAAAACAGCAGTTAAGAAATCAAATAACGTATTGCATTGTGCAAATCAGCTGCAAAAGATGTCTTTAAAGGTCTTTTCAAACATCGTTTTGAGGACTAAGGTGCATCTGATCCAAGCCATGGTATTTTCAATCACCTCATATATATGCAAAACTTGGACAATGAATAAGGAAGACTGAAATAGAATTAATGCATTTGAATTACGGCGTTGGCAAAGAATGCTGAAATAACTATGGAACGCCAGAAGAATACACAAATCTGTCTTAGAAGCAGCACAGTTATAATGCTCCTTAGAAATGAAGATGGTGAGACATCATCTCACTTACTGTGAATATGGTATCAGGAGGGACAGGTCCCCGGAGAAGCATATTCTGCTTGCTAAAGTAGAGGACCAGTGAAAAAGAGGAATACACTCTACAAGATGGACTGACACAGTGGCTTCAATAAATGGGCTCAAACAACAATTGTGAGGATAGCACAGTACCAGGAAGGGTCTCCTCTATGAGTAGGAATTGACCTAAAAACAGGGACCGGTGCCATACATGGTTTGTGACAGTATCTTGTGGTTTTATTCACTCCAACCACAGAATATTCTTTCTTGATTTCCGAAGATTTTTAGTTCATTTTCTGAAGCTCTGTCCCTGAAATGAGAGAAATATTCCAAGATTCACTTTTCTTCCCATATATATCCTTATTTACTTACAGAACTCATGGATTTAATGACTCCCTCAAGGCCAGTGGTTGCCAATGTTTCTATTCAATTCTGTTAAGTCTCATTCTCACTGGAAGAGCAGTGTCTCTCAAATCAAAATCATCATTCTGCTGAAAATCATATTATATTTCTATGCTGTCTGCAATTACTATTCATTTTCTGGTGTTGACTGCAATATAAGAACTGGACCACAAGGTCAGTGTGAACTGCAAGAGCAGCGGTTGAAATCCACCACCCGCTCCTCAGAAACCCTATGCAGGGTTGTTATGACTTAGAAGCAACTCAAAGGTTCCTTTTCCCAGTCTTTTGGTATTACATACTCCAAAGCTTTAAGGAGCTCTGGTAGTATAGTGATTACGAGTTGGGTTGCTACTTTTACCGTCAGCAGTTCGAAACTACCAGTCATTCTGTGGGTAAAGATTAATAGTCTCAGAAACTCTAATCAGAGTCTCTGAGTCAGAACCTACCCCATGGCACATCACCACTACATCACCCTGAGTCAGAACAGACTCCAGGACACATAATCACCACCACCACCACCACCCCACTCCAAAGTCTTAGAAATAAAGGAAATGACCTTGAAATCAAATCAAACCTGTAAAGTGGTCTGAAACTTAGTATTTAACTAACAAAATGGCTTACTTTATAAACTCCCTGATCTCCAGATATATAAAAATATAACACACCTCATATTATCATTTGGCATAAAAATACTTTCTTGGAATACTGGTGTGGCGCTGTAAGATAAGCACTGGACTAACCGAAAGGTCGGAGGTACAAACCAACTATTCACTCCTCGGAAACCCCTAACAGGGTCACTATAAATCAGAACCAACTCTATGGTGCTTTACAACAACATCAGTAGAAACTATTAAAGAATTTCAGGAAATCTCTGCAATGAGGACTTCAGAATTATGGGGGACAGACAGGCTGTAGACTAGTGTTCTGTCTGCCCATTCTTCCAATCTGTTCCAAAAACCCAACTCCACTACCATGAGTCAAATTCTACTTATAGTGACCGGTTTGGGGTTTCCGAAGTTGTAAATCTTTACAGGAGCAGAAAACCTCGTATATCTTCTAAAGAGTGGCTGGTGGGTTTGAACAATGGACCTTATGGTTAATAGTTCTGTGTTCGTCCTACAATGCTGCCAGGGTTCCTCCGCTACTTCTGGAAAGTAACCTACAACGTATAATCACGCGAAGGTGGCGAGGACTGCAAATCCCATGATGCAATGGAAGAGTCCAGCGATGGGTGGGCCTTACACTTTCCTGGGAATATTAGTCTTCAGATTACTTGTCTAACAAACTAGGAATTGTCGCCTTTATTTATCAAAATATTATTTCGAAAAACAAAGCTAGGAAAAAGGATGTGGAATTCTTACCAAAAGACTAGGTGCAACCCGTTGCCAGAAAGCCCTGGCCCTGCAAACTCAAGTTTGTGCCTCTTGGGCGGACGCCCTTGGCGTGACGCCACTTCCGGGAGAGGCGGCCTGGGCCGGCCCCTCCCTCACCTCGCGGGTATCCTGGGCTGGGCGGCCCAGGCTAGGCGAGCGGAGGCGGGCTAAGGCGGAGAGCAGCTGGTTTCTGGACTGGAGGTCACGTGAGGCATATTGGTGTTGTGGGAAGAGGCGAAAACCTGCGGTTAGGAGAGTCCGGTTTAACCGTCACTGCGAAGCGCGCTGGAACTGCGTTGTGGAATGAGGTAGGAACTGGACGTTGGGCGCTGTCACGGGCGCTTGTGTGGGAGACACCTGCACCTGGGGGCGGGGGCGGGGGGCTCTAATGAAGGGTGTTGAGGCGCTATCGGAGAGCCCTGGCTACTCCCAGGTCACCGCTGACTACTACGTGCTTTGGGAAGTGCTGGCAGCGTGCTGGGAGGCGGGGGAGAGAGGGATTCAGAGCCCCAGCAAGGACGGGTCTCACCCCCTCACGAGCCGAAGACCAGTGGCCTGTGAAGCCCCTGGCCGGACGCGGTTGGGGTGGAGCTGCGCCTCGATTTCTCGACTTTCCACTCGCCCCCGTCTTTTCTCGCCCACAGGGTTGCTTAGGGCCGGGCTACCTCACCTGCTCAAGGTTTTCAAAAGTGAGACTAAAATGGTCCTCCTCGGAGCGTCTCCAAGCCAGGGCAGAAAGTGAAGGCACCCCTGGAATGGGCACAGTGTTTTCTTAACCCTTGGGTAGACTCTTCCTGGACATCAGCAGTTTTATTGATACGCGCCCAACCCCTAGCTGGCTGCTCCAAGTAGCCAAGCAGCGAAGGGCAGAGCCATCTCAGAAGCCCTGAGAAGCTTGTGGTTTCAGACTTTGATTACTTGTTTGGGGAGGCCATCGGGCTGAACCACAGATCACTGAATCAACAGCTCGAGTTTCTTGAGTCTTTGATGATGGGGAAGGTTGCCCTGAGCCATGTGTTAGGTTCAAAACCATATTTCAGCTTCTTTCCAAGTTTTTTGTTGTTATTGCTAAGTGTCATGGAGTCGGTTCTGACTCTTAGCAACCATGTGTAGGTTTTCGAGGAGCGGGTGGTGACTTTGCAGTTCAACACTACCTTGCAGTCCAGCCCATTAACCCACAGTGCTACACCAGGACTCTTAAGTTGGGGGGTGGGGGCGCGTCGTGGTGGTGGTTATGTGCTGTGGAGTCGGTTCCGACTCATAGTGACCCTGTACAGGGTTTCCAAGGCTGTAAATCTTTACCGGAGCAGCAAGTCTCAGCTTTCTCCCAGAGAACAGCTGGTAGTTTCGAACTGCTTACCTTTAGGTTAGCAGCCCAACTCATAACCACTATGCTACCAGAGCTCCTTTTTCCGCTGTAGAGTTATGTAAGTACAGTGACATATACCTGTTGTTATGTGAAGTCCTCTACTTAATTACAATTTCTTTATAACTTGGCTTTAGCAGTCCACTTCAATAAGTACTGGACAACTAACCACAAGGTCAGTGGTTCAAACCCGCCAGTCATTCCTCGAAAACCCTACACAAGGTCCCTATGAGTCAGAACTGACTCCACAGCACTTAATAACAGTAACAACAAGCCCAAACTCTTCCAAAGGCCAGTTGTTGTTTATGCCATGGAGTGGGTTTTCAGTCATAGTCACCCTGTATAGGGTTCCCAGGGAGTCCTGCTGTAGCGCCATAGGATGAGCACTTGACCCCCAAGTTGGGTTTGAACCACATGGTTGTTCATACTTACCAGCTTCTCCTGGGGAACCCTATACAAGGTCGCTATGAGTCAGAACTGACTTGACGGCACTTAGCAACAGTAGGGTTTGAACTGCTAATCTTGTGGTGGGTAACCTAGTGCAACACCAGGACAGCAAGCTAGTGTTTATCCTACAGCGCTGAACTCCAAAGGCCAGTTGTTGTTAAGTGCAGTTGAGTGGATTCGACATTGCTTAGCATTTCCAATGAGCAGCTGGTAGGTTTGAACTGCTGACCTGTAGTTCTCAGTCCAGTGCTGATCTTACAGCACCACAGCAGAAGTCCCAAAGGCCAGTTAGGAGACTCAAATACAAGTAATTATAAAGTAGACAAATGGATTGTACTTCATCTGCCTATTAACATTTCCTCATTAGGACTACGTTTGCAGGTATGTATTCTTCCAATGAGTATGTTGGTAAACTTTTTCTTTTGTGTTATCATGAAGTTATTCTGCTATAAGATTCACTAATCCTTTTGACAAAAGAGTATGAGTTATAAATATTGGTTAAGTACCTTCAGTTTATGGCAAGACAGTGATGACCTAGACACTGAACTCAATGACACTTAGAACAAGGCACTGAAGAACAGTTATACTTTCTTTTGAGTTTCAGTAATTGAAATGAAAAAGTAATAGAAACAATTTTGTTGTTTCCTTTGCTTTCTTCCCTCTGATGTACAGTATACTATTATGACCATAAGCAAGTAAAGCTGGTATTTATCACTTTTTCCTCCTTCCAGCTCTATGAGAGTAAGTCAAAAAGTATTACTACAAAATCATAGCACCTTTTACTAATCAAAAATATCACAATGTGAAGCTGTTGTTTCTCAACATAGCCTCCATCTTCTTGTTGTTAGGTGCCATCGAGTCTGTTCCATCCCTGTGTACAACAGAATGAAACACTGCCTGGTCCTATGCCATCTTCATAGTTATTGTTACACTTGAACCTACACATTTCTGAAGGCAGTGCCTGCATCTCATCTTTACCCAAAATGCCCTCGTGGTATACTTGACCTCAAGGTCAGCATTTCAAACCCACCAGCCACTCTGCTGGAGAAAGATGAGGCTCACTTAAAGATTTAGTCTTGGAAACCCAATAGAGCAGTGATTATGAGTTGATTCCAACTCGTAGTTGATTCTAACTCAAATCAACCCGATGGCCATGAATAGTGCTAGGGAACCTATCCCTAAAGTCTTCTGTGCTCTTTGATTTACACCAAGTATAAATGACAGTTTTGGCATCCTCAAGGGACTCAAATTGTGTTCCTTTGAAATGTTCTTTGCATGTGGGAAACAAAAAGAAATCTGAAGGGGCAAGATTAGGGCTGAAGGCTGGATGGTTTCCCAGTGAAACTCGTGTACAACAGCACTTGCTACCTTTGAAAAATGAGCAGGTGCATTGTGATGATGGAAAAACAATTCCTGTGTATATCTTTCCTTGCCTTTATCTCACCAATACAGTTTGCAGTTTTCTTAACACTTCTTCCTCATAAGCCTTTGTGATCATCCAGTGTCCTTTAAGAAAATCTATCAAAATTGC